AACAAAAGAAAGGAAGAATAAAAGCGCGTCCAAATAATCAAAGTGTGTCATTGCCATAATAATCAAGCTGGTTGATTAGAAGCACAAAATAAGGTTTTACCTCACCATAAATAAAGTTGTGTTTCGCCAATATTGTGTAAAAACAAAAAGAAAAGGAAAAAGCCCATAGAAGCCAAAGGCCAAAAGAAAAAGGCAAAATACCCGGTAGGAAACCCACTAAGGGGGTTACGCAAAAGATAGGGTTACAAAATAAGGTCCGTTAGGATTCCCTAAACAGAAAAGAAAAAGGAAGGAACCTAGACAAAAGATAGGACCCAAAACACAATATCCTAGTTCTAAAAGCCAAAGGGCGGCCTAGGGAAATCAATCAGCCATAAAAGCAATGGAAATAGGTTAAGGCACAAATCCACAAAGAAAAATGTTTGCTTAGACAAAAGTTTAAACACTCAAGCCTAACCTTAGCCAAGCCATTCTTACAAAATATTTTCTGAATAAAATCAACCGTCTAAAACACAAGCCGTTGAATTTATCCTTTACTTCTTTTCTCTTGACCCTCACAACATTATTCTAACAATTAGTTTAGGAATATGGAGGCGTATAATCAACAAGAGGATTGAAATCCCTAAAGTAAAGAAAAAGGGCACTAACGTGACAAAGTGTACTCTCCAAAAAGAAGAAGAAGAGATAGTCATTCTTCGGTCACATTAAGTCCGGAACGGTACAACCAAGTACAGCAGAAAAGCAAAGATCAAAGGGCTCCCGTCTATAAGACACACCGGTTAATCCTTCTGAAAAAACTAATGAAGTAGGCATCAAACATGAAAACATGGCATGCATAAAATGTTTTTGAACAAGGTCCTATTCTCTTAAAAAAAATAGCTAAAATTTCGAGACCGCCGTCTCGCCTTCCCAGACCGTCGTCTCGACTCGCGTTGAAATGAGACCGTTGTCCCAACCTTAGAGACCCCCATGTTGCTTTGGACAAAAACGAGACCGCCTTCTCGCTTGGCGAGAAGGCTGTCTCGCCATAGGTCCAAAATGAGACCGTCGTCTCGAAGTTTCAGATGGCGGTCCCGAGTTCCGTGAAATCAAGACCGTCGTCTCGAAATCCCAAACGGCGGTCTCGACCCAAAACGAAAATCTATAAATAGGGGCCTTGGGGGGTTGGTTTGAGGCACTCCTTTCTGCATTCCCACATACATTTCTTCCATTTTTGAGCACTTTCTCATCAAGATGCATAGAGGCGAATCTTCCAGAAAGAGGGGAAGGGGCTCTAGCACAAGTGTTTCTACGGTCCCAATCCCGCCAGACCCGACCCGGCTCTCACCCCAACATCAGGCGTGCCTAGAGCATATTCAGGGTTATGCATGACATCCCATGCTGAAGCTGGACTTTCACATCCTCGCCGAGTTCGGATGGGAGGATGATGTCCGGGCATACTTTGACAACATCGGGTGGGGCTTCCTCCTCCAGCCTCCTCCCACCTGCATCTACCCACAGGCAGTGATTGAGTTCCTTGCCTCCATCACGTACTTTGAGCTCCCCACGATGATACCAGGCCTCCCGCCGGTCAAGATGGTGTCATACTACATGAACGGGTCGTACCAGACGACGACGCTAGACGAGTTCAACGTCTCCATTGGCTTCATCCGACCCGAAGACATCCTGACCCCGGAGTACCGAGGGGCCATCTGCGAGCGGCCTCCTACCCTCACAATTGGTGAGATGTGGGAGGATCTCACCGGGATGCGCGTCTTGTCGTCCCTGCTGAAAGGGTCCGCGCTCACTCCCGCTCTCCGCATCTGCCACAAGCTGCTGGTAGGAACTCTCCACGGGCGGAAGGAGAGCCAGGGGAAGGTCACCTATCCGGACCTCTTTGCCCTCCACTGCATGAGCCAAGGGCGCCAGTGCAACCCCGGCTACTTCTTCGTGAAGGCCCTTAAGGACTTTGGGTGTCCTCCTGTGGGAGTCATCCTCATGGATCCTCTTATCACCCCACTAGCTGAGAAGTGGGGTTGCCAGGGCGGCTCCTCTGATCTTCGCCCGAGTCTATCAACGGGTTCGTGCTTGTCAGCATGGGGATGCTGACCCGTTAAGGATCCCGGTTGGCCCTCTCGCTAGCCATGACCCTAGACCTCCAGGACCTGGTGGCGATGCAAGACCTCCCGACACCCCTGGAGTTCCAGCAACAATAACAACAGCAGCAACAGCAACAATACAGGGACAACTTTGCTGGCATCAACCGCAACATCTACAAGCTACGCCAACAATTCGACTAGATGTCCCTAAGGCAGGATGTCTTCGAGACACGAATGGAGACCTTCGGCCGGATACAAGAGGGGATGAGACAAGACCTGGCACTGCTCCGACAAGAACATCTCGGCTCAGTCCGAAGCCAGGAAGAGTTTCAGAGACATATGTATCGGCAGTTCCCTCCTCCCGGATCGTCTCCCGGCTCGAGCACGCCACAGTCTTAGGGATATTACCCCCAAAATAATTGCTATAATAAATTTTTATCATAAATAAAATTTCTTTCATTCATTTTTTGCTCTCTTTTTGAAAAAAAAAAAGTCAGCGTAACGAAAAGAACTAAAAAGTAAAAAGACTTACGCTTAGTCTCGAAAAAGCCAAAATTCGAAATCGTGAGAAAAAAGATGAAACCGTGGAAAAAGGCAGGATTAAAAAAACCAAAACAAAAGCCAAGACAGTTTGGCAAGTCAACCACATTGACCAAGAATTTTTCGACAACCAGCAAAGTCGAACTACAAAACAAGACTACCCAGCAACCAACAAGCTGGATGACCACCGAAAGAGTCGAAATAATCCCCGACAAAAACCGGATGACTACTCCGGAAAAGTAAAAAACAAATATCAGAAAGCAAGAGAACACATCTCAGCATCGACACATGAGCTACAGAGCAGTAAGCCGCCACCACCACCAGTCCTACGAAGTGGACTGTACCAGCCTGATGGGGGGTTCATACCCATCAACTTGCGCACGACGTGCGCCTGATCTGCACACGAGCCAGATTAGTAAGTCGCAACCAGTCCAGTGCAGAGGACCATACCAGCCTGATGGGGGGTTTATACTCATCCTGCCTGACGCACAGTGGGTCGCAACTACTAGCCTGATGGGGGGTTTATACTCATCCAGCCCGACGCACAGTGGGCTGCAACTACCAGCCTGATGAGGGGTTTATAATCATCCAGTCCTACACACAGTGGGTTGCAACTACCAGCCTGATGGGGGGTTTATACTCATCAACCGAAGGATCGGCTACCATCAGAAGGAGTATCCTGAGGTTTTACCATGTGTCAACCAAAGGGATCGGCTACCGTTAGAAGGAGCATCCTGGAGGTGCACAACACATTTTTCTCTAGAGGATCAGCCACCGCAAGACGGAGCATCCGAAGGACAACCGGGAAAGAGGGTTAACTCCTTCACCCTCCAGCCGATCTTCTTGGCACAACAGGCCAACAGTCGGCTAGTCAGGTGAAGGGGGGGCAGCTGTAGACCCCAAATCTTGCTTGGCCTCAAAATAAAGAACAGAAGACCTCCTATTCGAAGATGGACGAAGTCTAAAAAGTCACTAGGAGAGACTATTAGGCCCCATATTAGAGTAGGAAGGCTTTTCTGTACAAAAAATAAGGATTTCCACCTTAAGGGATCGAGACCGTCGTCTCACTTTTCAGGACCGCCGTCTCGCTGAAGGGCAAGTCAAGACCGCCGTCTCGTTTGGCGAGACGGCCGTCTCGCCACTTGCTTTTGGCGAGACTCCCCTCCCGTTTGGCGAGACGACCCTCTCGCCATTTGGTAAGTCAATACCGCTGTCTCGCCACACGAGACGACAGTCTCGCCATTTGTCAAAGTTGAGACCGTCGTCCCGAATGGCGAGACCGTTGTCTCCACCTTGCCAGGCGAGATGACCGTCTCGACCTGACAGGTGCAAATCCCTATAAATAAGGGGCGCTCTCCCCTTCATTTCACACAACTCTTCCACCTTTCCTTCTGCAATTTCTTAAAATTCTTCTTTTAGAGCCCCGCTGAAGCATTTCCAGAGTTTCTGAGTGTTTTAAGAGGGTTTTTATAGCGTTTTCGGGAGAGAATTCGACGTTGTAGAGCGAAGGGCTACCAAAATGCACCCCATTTTTTACGAGAATTAATCAAAGCTTGCTCCGGAGGTTTCTTCACTCTCTCCCTCTCTTTTATTGTCCTTTTTACATACATTAAATTGTGCAATAGCTACTAGGGCCATGTAGTCATTATTTTTAATTCCGCAAATAAAAGGGTAAAAACATCATTTCAAAAGTTTATTTATTAAATAACTGACCCATCATAGGGAACCCGAAAGGGGCGTCGTAAGGGAGTTAATACCTCCCTTACGCTTAACTAACTCCCTTACCCAACTCTAGTTTTAACGACCAAAGTTGGTTTTTCTTAAAAAACCAACGCCTTTTTCTTTCCTTTTTCGATATTTCTGGTAAAAACATCGGTGACGACTCCATAAGAACCCCCTCAAACTTGTTCTTAGGTCAACCCGGTTATCGGACGATCTAAGAACACTCTTTCGAAAACCCCGTCCTTAGGTTCAGCCCGGTTATCAGACAACCTAAAGGCGTTGTAACCTCACCCACAAAAACGCGAAAAAATGGAAAGTCGAAACCATCGCGTCGCTCCGACCTCCTCTTTTGACGGCGGAGACAACGCCGAAGAAAAGTATCCTCATTTTGATTAGGGATGTGGATACTAGTAAGAGAATCTCAGAAGCTAAGCTTTGAAAAGGCACTGCTCTAACCGGCCTATAGATTAGGACTAGCTGCTTAACCGGCCACTTGACTCTTTCCTACCCCTATGGGAAGGAAGCATGAAGAAATTATTCTATGACTCTAGGCGAAAGGCCATGGATCACTCTTACTATAGAGAAATCCTTTATGTATTTTCTTTGTGTTAGTTGACCTAAGTCGCACCATTATGGGGTGGGGCTCGGACTCCGAACCGTATGTGGGGCGAGTTTTTGCCTCATACAGCTTGGGCCGAAGACCGGGGGAAGTTTAGGAAAGATGTGGAGACACAGGAACTACCGTATCGGACAAGGATCGAATTAGCAAGCCTAGTAGAGTCCCCTCTAGCAGTAGCATTGGGACTACTTGTTCATTCGACAGCTTTTTCGTTCTCAGATCCAGTCTTTTCAGTTGTTCAAAGAAATGTTTATCCTGAGCTTTTTCTGTGGGATCGATCCCTTATATTATAGTATCCTAGCCCCCATCAAGAAGGAATCTCTTTGAGTTACACACGGAATCTATTAGAAAGATAAGATCCTCACAAAACTAAAATAATAGGCCTTGGTAACTGGTAGGTTACTTTTTACATATAATTTCTAATGGAACTACCGCCTATTGTATAGGGCTACTTATAGACCACAAATCTTGCCCAGACTCAAAATAAGAACAGAAGACCTCCTATTCGAAGATGGACGAAGCCTAAGAAGCTACTAGGAGAGACTATTAGGCCCCATATTAGGATAGGAAGGATTTTTTGTATAAAAATAAGGATTTTCGCCTTCAAGAGTCGAGACCGCCATCTCACTTTTCGGGACCGCCGTCTTGCCATTGATGCAAGTCGAGACCACTGTCTCGTTTGGCGAGACGGCCGTCTCGCCACTTGCCAATGGCGAGACCCCCCTCCTGTTTGGCGAGAAGGCCTTCTCGTCACTTGAAAAGTCGATACCGCCGTCTCGCCACTTTTGCAAGTCGAGACGGCCATCTCGACTTGACAGGCACGAATCCCTATAAATAGTGAGCGCTCCCCCCTCATTTCACACAGTTCTTCCACTTTCCTTTCTACAATTTCTTCAAATTCTCCTCCTAGAGTCCCTCCGAAGCATTTTCGGAGTTTCTGAGTGTCTTAGAGAGCTTTTTATAGCGTTTCGAGAGCGATTTTTGGCGTTGTAAGAGCGAAGGGCTGCCAAAACGCACCCTATTTTCAAGAGAATTCATCAAAAAGCTTGCTTCGGAGGTTTCTTCACTCTCTCCCTCTCTTTTACTGTCTTTTACTTCATAATTAAATTGCGTAATAGATATTAGGGTCATGTAGTCATTATTTTAATTCTACAAATAAAAGGGTAAAAGCGTCTTTTCAAAAGTTTATTTATAAAATAACTGGCCCATCATAGGGAACCCGAAAGGGGCGTCGTAAGGGAACTAACACTTCCCTTACACGTAACTAACTCCCTTGCCCAACTCTGATTTTAACGACCGAAGTTGGTTTTCGAAAAACCAATGCCTTTTTCCTTTTTCGATGTTTCTGGTAAAAACATCGGTGGCGACTTCATAAGAACCCTTTCAAATTAGTTCTTAGGTCAGCCCAGTTATCAGACGATCTAAAAAAACCCTTTCGAAAACCTCGCCCTTAGGTTCAACCCAGTTATCGGACAACCTAAAGGCGTTGTAACACCACCCATAAAACACATGAAAAATGGAAAGTCGGAACCATCGCGTCGCTCCGACCGCCTCCTTTTGACGGTGGCGACAAATGGCGACTCCACAGGGGAAGCCTAGAGAGTTGATCCCATTTAGTGATGGGTCAGTTTAACAAATAAACTAAGAAATTTCGCTTTTACCCTACCTTGTATTATAACATGTTTTAATTGCTTGGCTTTAATAACTGTTGTTTGTTTATTTTTACGCAATTGTTTGAAATACAAACTGTACACAAACTTTTGCGCACAATAGTTCCCTCTATACTCGGGGGCAAGTGAGAAATCCATAGGGACTGGGTGGCAGGTACGGTTCGTTGTAGTGATGGCCTTGAGCCCACCGGTGTGATCGGAAATCACCACTCAAGGTGATAATCTTCCTCTTTTGGCACAAAGACTGACTATGGCCTTAGTGCTAAGAATGGTCGGAAGGCTGGAAAGTGGAGACCCTATAATGGGGGCACCTTGGGGGCCCAAGCCTTGGTGAGAACAGTTAGAACCTACCCTTGCCAATGTACTTTTTTGCAGGAAAACCCTACCTCGTGATTAAAACGACTTCTCACGTGTTCGCAGATGAGTGGATTGTATGTGCATTTGTTTGTTGCATTTGATTGCATAGCATAACCAAACAACAGAAAAATCACAGAAATTTCTTTTTACAATAAACACCCTTATCTCGAACAGTCTACCTTTTAGCTAGCCTGGTTTCAGGTTCTTTGTAAGCTAAGTAGCCATGCAGTCCGACAGAAGAGATAAGGGACGCTAATATTATTCTTTCGCAATAAACCATTTTATCTCGAACAGTCTGCCTTTTAGCTAGCCTGGCTTTAGGTTCTTTGTAAGCTAACTAGCTACGCAGTCCGACAGAAGAGATAAAAGGCTAAAAAAAATAATAATAATAATAATAACAAAATCAAAACATTTATAAAAGTATTTTTGACAAATTCGTATCATTCATATCGCATCATGTCATAAGTGGAAAAACCAAGAGAGAAAATAAATGCATAAGGAAAGTATGCATACGCATCATTTTAATAAATCCCTAAAAAATGGGTCTTAGAAGCGTTTTCTGGAAAAATTACTAGGTCAAATCCCCTTTGGGGGTTTGTAATCTGATTATTCACATTTTTCTCTTTGTTTTAATATGTTGTGCGTCCAAATCGGACATCTCAGTCAAAAGTTATGCCACTTTGAACATTTACCGCCCTTTTGTACTGGTGCATGCATAAATACATTCATTCTAGAAAGCACTAGATATCCCTAAGACAATGGCGAAAGAGGCCCCGAGCACATTTGTAACCTTCACGACAAGGAAGGGACAAGTGTACTAAGGTGTGATGGTGACCCCCATTATACTTGTCAAGTATGTGATGGGAAAGGAACCATTACACCAAGGTGGGTATGATACCCCACAAAGCGTAAGCTTTAAGGAGGATACCTTAGTCATTGTCTTAAGGAATATCTATCTCATAAATCATTCATTTTTAACAATAAAAATCTTTTTGCATTCTAGAAAGCGATTGGTACTCTTCATGCCCTCATCCGCAAACAAAAAAAAAACACAAAATCCCAAACACTATCATATATCATGCTAGAAAATAAAACATGATAATATTTAGGAAAAAACAAACACTTGCATACATGCATCCACCAAACTTCATCCTCATAACATGCATCTAATAATAGACAGTCGAAGAAGTGGACATTCCTCAATACCATGAAAAGAGGATTAGGACATTCGCATGCCATGCACGGGAAGACAAAAAGAAATTAAATAGAAATTCTAACCCGCCTATGGGTTCATTTAGGCTTCTCCGCTTTTTAAAAAAAAATGTACTTCGAAACATTGCATTGAGGAATGTACACTGTCTAGATTAAATAAATAAAATTGTTTGTTTTCATCATCTCTTCAACTGTCCATTGCATTCATAAATTGCATTCATTCTCACTTTAATAATAATAAGATAATAAAAAGAAAGGATTAATTGATGTGCTTTCCATTAATCGGAATAAGATGAAGAACAAACCTTTCGTCATCAAGTTCTCTCCAACAGTTGACCCACCTAAGAAGGATAATAAGCCTCAACTGTCGGTCATCTGAGTAAATAAGGAAGAGGGGGCAAGGATGTCATTACATTTGTTCACGCCTCGAATCGAATAAAGTTGTACCATGGAGATACGTAGAAACATCATCTAGCATAACCGACATTGGGGGCAAGATTAGAAGTGAAAGAATCTACTCCCCCGAGGAGCTATAAGACAATGCTCCCAAGAATAAAGGAAAAACATAATCCAAAGAGGAAATTCAAGAGACTTTGGATTCACGACGCTGAGACAATTCTTTCAACGCTCCGCCAAAGAGACAAACTCATGGTAGGCGACAAGCTGGTCACGGTTCGAGCTAAAAACAACATTTGGATCAACAAGTCGTCTGCCCTACCTTGAATGGATGCGACTGAAAAGGACATTTGAAATATTTTTTGCCAATATGAAAAGACTTCCGAACAATATGAAGGTGACCCACACGATGAGGAAATATAGATGCCGCCCAAACCAAGGGCTCATTAGAAACTCTCAAGGAATAAGGGAGCCACCAGATTTTAAAGACAATCCCTTGCACGGAGAAAACAGAAGTCTCCCCTCTGCACCTCAAATAAGATTTTCCCAAATAGAGGGGTTCAAGCGTCAAAAGTGACTTTAGTCATTAGGTGTTCTCCTTCTGATTCTTAGGGTTTGTAAATCCAATGACTATTAGAGATTACTCCTCAGGGCTAGCCCGACCCCCGAGCATTGTAGGGCACATAACTCCCTATTCTTACTGTTTGCTTCTCTTCTTGCTATTCATATCTAAACCTCATTAATAACCATGTTTAAGCAAACATTTTCAAAACGCGTCAAAGTAATCAAACTGTGCCATTAACCAAAATAAAAGTCAAATCCATCATCACTGATTGACTAGAAGCACAAAATAAGGTTCCACCTCATCATAATAAAGCCGTGTTTTGCCAATGTTGTGCAAAAAGAAAACAAAAATCAAAAGAAGCCCATAGAAGCCAAAGGCCAAAAGAAAAGGCTAGATACCCGGTAGGAAACCCACCAAAGGGGGGCTACGCAAAAGTTAGGGTAAACCTGCTAGGAAACCCGAACAACAATAAAGGGTGGCCTAGGCAAAAATTAGGGTTACAAAATAAAGTCTGCTAGGATTCTCAAAACAAGAAAAGAGGAAACCTAGACAAAAGTTAGGACATAGCACAACATCCTAGGCTGAAAACCTAAAGGGCGGGCTAGGGAAGTCAATCAATCATAGCAAGCGCCATAGAATAAGACGTCACTCCATAAACGAAACGTTTGTCTAAACTAGCCTAAACACTCTAACCAACCTTGGCTAGTCGTGCTTACAAAAGCCATTTTTTGTCAAAATAAAACAATTCTAAAACACAAGCCTTTGAATTAAATATCCTCTTCCTTCTTTTCTCTTGACCCTTACCACTACGACATTCTAGTAATTAGTAGGGAAATGTGGAGATAGTAATCAATAGGAGGATTGACATCCCCAAGGAAAGGGAGGGGCGCACTGACATGGCAAGTCGCTCTGTAATCAACACAATCATTCTTCGGTCACGGCAAAGTCAAGACGGCAAAATCGGTACAACCTATCCTGTCAACGAAAACACATAACATCAGAATCTCATCAGAAGTAAAAGCACATTTGATTAATCCTTTTAAAATATTAATTGAACTAGCATTGTAGGATGCATATCGTGAACATTGCATGCATATGATAGGGTCTTATCTCTCAAAAAAAAAAAGAGAAAGAAAAAATGAAAATAAAAAGAATAATGTCTGCTAGGAGATTCTTAGGCAAAAGTTAGGGTAGCCCGCTAGATCGAAAACTCGCAAAGGGCGGTCTAGGAAAAAGTTAGGGCATTCATAAAAAAGGAAAAAACCCGCTAAGATATCCTAGGCAAAAATTAAGGCAGCTCGCTAGACCGAAAATCCCAAAAGGGTGGTCTAGGCAAAAGGTAGGGCTAAACCAAAAAATGAATAAAAGAGAGGGGTCATTCATCATAATCATGAAATTCCAGCAGGATACAAGTTACTTCTCTAGATGCATCAAATAAAATGATAGATTGCATTGAAGGTATCCACACACAAGTAGTCGCACAAAATGACTTTGTCAAGGTAAAAAAAATGAAAGAAATAAAAATCACTTCAGATAAATAACAAAAAAAAACCGAAAAGCATTCATGCATATAAGGAGACTAGCTCCATGTTTGTGATTGAAAACAGGATCACCGAGACCGAGTCTCCAAATAATGCCCTCAAGAAAATAGAGCAAGTCGTCAATAAAGCGACTCTGAGCAAAATAAGAGCTTCCAGAAGTTAAAACTCCAACCGCCATCCTTCTACTATAGAAAAAGAAGGCACAAATAAGAAGTCTCCAAACATTGCTCTCCCTCAAGAAAGAAGAGCGAGTTGTCATCTAATAACTCAGAAGAAATAAGAGCTTCTAGAAGCCAAAGCTCCAGTCATCATTTTTCTACCCAATAAAAGATGGCACAATCATCAGACATCATAAAAGAAAAGCCGACGGAAAGGCCTAGTTATCCCCAAGTGCATCCTTGCCTATTCCAAAGGCAAAATAAATATTACCCCACGACTCAGCATCGCCACTACTTGAGTCATCGAGCACACTCACCCACAAAGTCTCCTCCACACTCCCCAATGGAGAATAAAGGCTTCAAGAGCCCATCATCATCAACAATCAAAAGAGTCCAAACCATCAAGGGCTCAACAAAAAAAAGGAGAGAAAAGAAAACCCTTCATCTCCAGCAGATGACAAAAAGGTCATGACAAAGAAGGCCGAATAAAAATCCTCAAGTGGATCTCCTAAAAAAGTCTACAAAAAGGAATCAGAAATTCTCATCCCTTAGTGGAATAAGAGCTTCACAAGTATAGCTCGCATCAACATCAATCAAGGAGCCAAGACTCCATCCCTAGAAAAAAAAATCAGGTTCCTAGGAAGTCAACTAATTCCCTGGTGGATCACCAAAGAAAGAAAACTTCATCCCTAGTGGACCTCCCAAAAAGAAGGAAAAGCCAGCGTAATAAAAAGAAACTAAAAAGTAAAAAGGCTCACGCATTATCCCCATAAAAAAGCCAGATTTGAAATCGCGATAAAAAAGAGATAAATCGCGGAAAAGGCCAAATTAAATAAGAGAATCACAGAACTAGCTCACACCAGTACCTAACAAGGAGTCAAAACTTCAGGGGCCAAACCAAAATTAGATCCCTGGGAAGTCAACCAATTCCCTGGTGAAGAAAGATCATCCCCAGTGAGCCTACTGTAAAGGCAAAACTTCATATTCATCCTCAGAATGTCATTTGTCTACGCATAGGCAAGATCTGGCAAGCAAGAGTCAGCATCCCCATAAGGGAATATCGGCTGAGTAAGAGGCAAAACAAATGCAGCCAAAAGTATTCACTTCCGATGAAGCATCTGCCTACTCAAAGGCATTACCAGAAACTCAATGGAGTATCAACCTGCTCAGAGGCACCATCAAAATCAGCAAATTTTCAATGGATACCCGCCTACTCAAGAGGCGTCACCAAGATCAAAAAACCCAAAGGATTCCTGCCTATCTAAAAGGCACTCATCACAAACCCCCGAAAACCAGTAAAGTCAGATGACCACTACCAAAGGATCAAAAAACAAAGAATCCCCAACAAACAACAAGTTGGATGGCTATAAGGAAAAGCAAAAAAAATAAAGAATCCCCCACACACTGGAAGACTTTACCAGAAAGGACATTTACCAAAATAGAAATCACTCCCCATGGAGTCGGCGCATGAGCCACCTGAGTAGTAAGCCACCACCACCAGTCCTACGCAGTGGACTGAACCATCCTGATGGGGGGTTTATACTCATCCAGTCCGACGCAAAACAGACTACAACTACCAGCCTGATGGGGGGTTTATACCCATCAACCGAAGGATCGGCTACCGTTAGAAGGAGTACCCTGAGGTTCTACCATGTGTCAACCGAAGGGATCGGCTACCGTCAGAAGGAGTATCCTGGAGGTGCACAACACACTTTTCCCCAGAAGATCAGTCGCCGCAAGACGCAGCATCCGAAGGATAACCGGGCAAGAGGGTCAACTCCTTTTCCCTCTAGTCGATCTTCTTGGCACGACAGGCCAATAGTCGACTAGTCAGGTAAAGGGGGAGTAGCTGTAGGACCCAAATCTTGCCCGACCTCAAAATAAGAACAGAAGACCTCCTATTCAAAGATGGACGAAGCCTAAGAAGCCACTAGGAGAGACTATTAGGCCCCATATTAGGATAGGAAGGATTTTCTGTATAAAAGTAACGATTTTTGCCTTCAGGAGTCGAGACCGCCGTATCGCTTTTCGGGACCGCCGTCTTGCCATTGATGCAAGTCGAGACCGCCATCTCGTTTGGCAAGACGGCCGTCTCACCACTTGCCAATGGCGAGACCCTCCTCCCGTTTGGCGAGAAGGCCTTCTCGTCACTTGAAAAGTTGATACCGCCGTCTCACCAAATGAGACAGTCGTCTCGCCACTTTTGCAAGTCGAGACCGTCATCCCGAATGGCGAGACGGTCGTCTCGACCTGACAGGCGCGAATCCCTATAAATAGTGAGCGCTCCCCCCCCCCCCTCATTTCACATAGTTCTTCCACTTTCCCTTCTACACTTTCTTCAAATTCTCCTCCTAGAGTCCCTCCGAAGCATTTTCGGAGTTTCTGAGTGTCTTAGAGAGCTTTTTATAGCGTTTCGAGAGTGATTTTCGGCGTTGTAAGAGCGAAGGGTTGCCAAAACGCACCCTATTTTCAAGAGAAATAATAAAAAAGCTTACTTCGGAGGTTTCTTCACTCTCTCCCTCTCTTTTACTGTCTTTTACTTCATAATTAAATTGCGTAATAGATATTAGGACCATGTAGTCATTATTTTAATTCTGCAAATAAAAGGGTAAAAGCGTCTTTTCAAAAGTTTATTTATAAAATAACTGGCCCATCATAGGGAACCCAAAAGGGGCATCGTAATAGAACTAACACTTCCCTTATACGTAACTAACTCCCTTACCCAACTCTGGTTTTAACGATCGAAGTTGGTTTTCGAAAAACCAACGCCTTTTTCCTTTTTTGATGTTTCCGGTAAAAACATCGGTGGCGAATCCATAAGAACCCTTTCAAATTAGTTCTGAGGTCAGCCCAGTTATTGGACGATCTAAGAACACCCTTTCGAAAACCTCTCCCTTAGGTTCAGCCAACGCGAAAAATAGAAAGTCAGAACCATCGTGTCGCTCCGACCGCCTCCTTTTGACGGCGGCGACACTACTATATTCATTTGTACTCGTCTACTAATGCCGGTCAGATTAGCTACATCGTATTGACTACTACCCTAGGATGATAGGACCAGTTGGAACGGCTTTGGTACTATGGTTGTACAACTACAGTACCCTATGAAGGAAGAGATTTTCCACTTTTTGTAGAGTAGGGTTACCGCGCTCTCTATCTAGAATCGGCCATGTTAGAAGTCTTACCAGTTGGGCTTCTTCTCATCAAATGAGAAAGTAGTGGAAGGGAATCAAAATCACCGCTCTTTTATTTATATTTCGGTTCCACGACAAGGACCTTTCCTTTTGGGCTTATACACACCATTAGCCCTGTTTTGCCTACCGACCAAGACTTCTCTTTCCACCTTAGCTTTCACCAACTAAACGAAAGGGAATTACTGGCACAAGTCAGATTTTCACTGCGAACTTAATAAAGACTTCCTTACCGACTATGCACTAGGATCCCTAGTACCAGATCCATCATAAGTGACTACCCTTTTGGGTTGTGGTGTTGTATTTCCACAATGCATGGCCAGAACCCATGTTGTATATTTGAAAAAGGTTGACCTCCTTACTTCTGGATCAGAAGTAGTCCTGGTCTATGACCACTTACAAAGTAGTAGCCTGGACAAAGTCCTTCACAAGAACACAAGTTCTGCAATTATCCTCAAGCGGTTAGCGGGCATAATTGAAAAAAGAAAGGCACTCTATGTTCTCGTTCTCGGTGCTCCGGTCAAGGTAAATTCTCTACTTGTCTTCACCTTCGGACATCAAGAAAGTCGAACTGACTCGCTAGCTTTGCTTTGTAAGGGCTTGACCTCTTATGTAGGGGAAATATATCAATTCCTATTGTGTTCCAGAAATGTCTTCCTCTTTGGTTATCCTAACAGTATCTAGGAATCTAGTCCCGCCCACGAATGTGTAGGATAGGTGGGAGATGATGACACAGAACAACTCTTTCATCTAAGGATGCCTAACCGCCGCACCGAAAATTTGGAGGGGGGGGGGGTGGGACACTGCGAGGTGGGTTTATCTGGGGCGGATGCCTCCTAAATAGTAAAATTCATTCTATTGAAGCATAACGTAAAACTTCTCATGTTGCATTTCTTTGGTTTGAAAGTTCCAAAATGTTGTCTGTGGATTTCTAACAAAGGAAAGCCCCCCTTTTTTTATTTATTAATTTAATTAAATCATTTAATTGGATTATGCTCTAGTGTTTGAATCATTTTTCTATCTATTCGTCTTTCTATTGATCTATTTGTTTTGCTATCATTCAGTAAGATTGATTAGTATGTGGATTACGTGGCTCGCTCTCGCTCTTTGAGTTCTTGGTCTGAAGGTGAACGAGCTCTTGGTGTCGTAATTCCTACTCGCTTTCCTTGTATTAGCTACAGCCACCGAAGCATTCTTTCGTCAACACGAGTTAGCTATTCTCTTCTTTTCCTTATTCTTCCTTTTCATATGTATTTTCAACTGCACAACTGGAACCAAAAATTTCATTGCCTTGAAGAGCCTTCCATTCTTAAGCCAGCCAATCCAGTCAATAAAGGGGTGAAGGAAAAAGTGCAGTTCAAGCACTTTGCTTTAAATCACAAACAAACATATATTATTCAATTTCGGCATTCCCGATCTTCTATCTTTCCTGCAGGCATGGAAATCAAATTGGAATGAGACCTTCCTTTCTGTCGACGTTCTTTTCCATTCAATCTCTCTTCCTATTCGTTGTTATGATGTTCCATATTCAAATAGCGGAGATTCACGAAGTATTGCGCTATCTACCAATGAGTGGTATTATTGGACTGATCCTTTGGTGGGAAATGTTTTTCATTTTAGATAATGAAACCATTCCATTACTACCAACCCAAAGAAATACGACCTCTTTGAGATATATGGTTTATGCCGGAAAGGTACAAAGTTGAACTAATTTGGAAACATTAGGGAATTTACTTTATACCTACTATTTCGTCTAGTTTTTTGTTCCTATTGGTTTAGTTTTTTTCTTACTTGCTTATTTTATTGGTAGAAACGAAGTTAGAGAGCTAGCCCGTGTTGAAATCCCGTCAACGGGGGGAGGGGAGGTCTTCTTGCAATATAATTGTACTGTAATAGGCTCTTCTTTGCTCGATCTCACCATAGCCTGATAGTAGGTATAGGTAAGAGCCTCCTCAATATTCAAGATGGCGTCCTAGCTGAACTTGCCCGAAGGAAATGTTGGATCTTCTTGCCGGGAAAGAGTTTGGTTACCAAGTTCAGTTACCATAAGCGGAAGTGCAACCCTTATATCTCCGATATATAGGATAGAACGATGTTTGAGAAAAAAAGAGTACTCATTAATGAACTCAACCCACCTAGCATGCCTAGATTTGAATTTCTTTTGAGAGTACAGATATCTCGGGTGGTCGGAAAACAGAAAAAACTTTTTTGGTAATAAAAAAATACCTCCAATGGCAAAGGGACTAGACCACAACATCAAACTCCTTATCATATGTAGAAGACTTCTGTTTAGCCTCATTGAGTTTTTAACTAAAGAATGTTATAGATGAATAAAGGTGGGCCGCTTGAACGGGACCTATTCTCTTATCTTAATAGGCGGAAAAGCTGAATAGGAAAGGGGCCAAGCTGACTAATGAGTTCCTTTTTAGCCTTTATTAAAATTAAAATTCAAAATAAAAAAAGGGCTCTCTCATGTGAAAATAACATGGTTGGCTACATACAAGTATAGCCAAATCAAGATGAGACGTGACGGACGGTAAGAGGCCGCAGTAGGACTATCATAGGAAAGCCCGCCCATGCTAGCTAACGGGTGAAAAAAGGAGCTCCTATCCACTTGTTCCAACCTAGGATAATAAGCCAATGAGTTTAGTCTTACTTCACCAGCGAGAAACGAAAGAATATTTCCATCTCCAAATTTTATTCAGACATAACTCGCTTCTTTTTCGGTGTGAAGCAGTGTCAAACTACCCAACAAGCATTAGTTCTCCCTAAAAAGAAGGTGATCCAGCTGCACCTTCCAGTACGACTACCTTGTTACGACTTCACTCTAGTCACTAGCCCTGCCTTCGGCATCCCCCTCCTTGCGGTTAAGGTAACAACTTCGGGCCTGGCCAGCTCCCATAGTGTGATGGGCGGTGTGTACATAAGGGCATATTATTGCTATGAAATGGGGGTCTTTCCTCAGTAATGGGAGAAATCCCTTATTCTAAGGGAATGTTTTGGGGTTTCTATTTCCTATCAAAAAACTCTGATTTCCCATCAAGGTTTAGCTGAATTCGCAAAGAGGTTCAGGGTTCGTAATTTGAGTAAGGATATTTCACTAATATCCATTCGGGCTCTAATGAACTCTCACCATCCCTATGGTACTATGGCTGTACAACTACAGTAACCTATGAAGGAAGAGATTTTCCACTTTTTGTAGAGTATGGTTACCGCGCTCTCTATCTAGAATCGGCCATGTTAGAAGTCTTAAGGTAGAGAGACTTTGAAACATGTATACACGGTCAGTCCTACCCCTTGGTTAGGACGTGGGTTACCTCTTGAACGACAGTCCAGTCAAGGTTGAGCAGTATCTTTAAGTTGGGCTATCAAAGGTTCCCTTACTTACTAATGTTCTACAAGGTGTAATGTTCGGAGATCCGGGAATGAAAGACTGATTTCTAAGGATTTGGAGCCTCACCTCTTCCGTAAAGGCAGGTAGCATAGGTGTCCGTGGATTCTTCGGCTAGGCATCCATCCACTCTATCCGCATTATCCAAAAACCTTCCGAGGAGCTTCAGATCGCGGATCTTCTTATGAAGTCCCACACCACTATGCGATTCTGATACTGAGTAACCAAACTCCAGATGTTATCCCTTGAGGCATCTTGAGTTGTAGGGGGAGGGGGGTGTTAAGCATATTGATTTGTTATATTCTGTATATAGTAAGTAGGTCTTGCTCTATATAGCACTTTCCTTTTATGGATGGAATCGAGAGGGAAGAAAGATTCCGGTTTCAGAGGCTTGATCAACTTTGTTCATGGATCATCAACAAATCCCTAAATGCTTCTTTATATTGTCGCCACGGAAAAGGTTCAAGTAGGGAGAACTATGTTTCAATCGGGTACCAATTGCTTAGATGCGTTTGAAAGCCTCAAGATTACTTTAAGAAAAAAATTCTTTCTAGGTTTGTCTTGTGTCTCCGTAACAAATGGTCCGAGGAAGGATGCTGCGATAGAGGATCAATCAACTAGAATTGCCCCCCTTCTATCCTTCCCTTGGGGGGGCAAGAAAGACTGTATGACTGCACTCGTTCTAGCAAATATGTCTTTGTCACAGCCAGTGGAAGATAGATTCCTGATATTTTACTATTGGGATTGTGACCATCCATTAGACAACTATTTGAGAGTATACACCCCCCTCCTATAGGTCATCCTCTCCCTCATCATAAGTAAAGTAGGGCCTTTCCCTTCAAGCAATAGAACAAGTTCCCAAGTACCATTCTTTTGGAGTGCATCTTTCTCTTCAACCATAGCCCTTCTCCATTCAGGATGAGCAAGGGCCTCCCAGCACAGGCCTACCACACTTCGCGCCTGCAGCGTTTTCACCGGACGGTCTTTGCCAGTAGTGCCATCATCCCCGCTGGTTGTATGGGCGGGTTGTCCCTCGCTGCTGCGTTCTGTTAGGCTATGGATTACAGGAACAAATGTAGTTGAATGAGATAGCAGGCGGGTTACACGTTCCGCTGCGCCGAGATGTGAGGTGCAGGTGGTGATGATCACCCCGTGTCAAAGAAGTCATAAAGAGCTTGGCCCGTCCATAAGCTCCCTCCGTAAAGGAAAAGAATCTTATTTGATCGGCCTGTCCGCTCATTCTCACATTTTACTAATAGGTTGATTGAAATGTCCCTTCCCTTAACTTAAGGCTCCATTGCACCAGGCCAATAGAAAAAGCTAAAGAGAAAGAGAGCTATAAGGAAGCAAGTGAGTGATGTGATCAAAGTAGCAAGTTCGGATTCAGGATAGAGAAAGAAATTAGCAAAGCCAAGCTAGAGCTTCATCTATTATAAGGAGGCGTAGTAGGGTAGGCTTACGAGAGAAAAAGCTCCTAGGTCGTGGGTCAAGACTAGAGAGCTACAGGTACACCTGGGGCAAAAGAGCACACAGGCGGGGTCGGGGCAAGGGTAGCACGTCACGAAAGTTCTCAGCTTAATCTTACCAGCACTATATCTTGGGTGCGCGATATGATGGGAGGACTGTCTAGAACAGACACCCCCAAGCATCCCTGAATTACAGTAGCTGGCGGAGGCAACACAAATCGGGGAACCGGCAAGTTCTTTCGCAGAAGTCAGGCAGCTAGTAGACAACCTCAGTGAGCAAGCCAGGGAGGTGGCTAGTGAAGCTTCTATGGAAAGAACACCCACCCAGAGCTCTTGCAATGTGGATGGCTGGGCTAACGCTAGCATTCGCTATCTCCAGCCTACCCTACTACGCCTCCTTATAATAGATGAAGCTCTAGCTGCGCTTTGCTGATTTCTTTCTCTATCCTGAATCCGAACTTGCTACTTTCATCACATCACTCACTTTCTTCCTTGTTGTAGAAAGTATAAAGTATCGCAAGTAAGGCAGCAAGAAGAAGATGAGGCTCGGCCATTAACAGTTGCGTTAGAATTGCCTCTCCATCCGCCGCTGAAGAAAGAATCTCACCCTTCTGCTGTCCCTACTATTCGACATTTCCCGGAGGAGTCCATTAGTGAGGGAGGGAAGATTCAAGACTGAACAAATTTCCAACTCCAACACAAACACGTAATCTTAATCTGATCTGGAATGAAAGCTCTGATAGTTGAGACATAAATCTAGGGCCAATGAGTGCTACAGTAGTGCCTTACGGGGTCGTAGCGCCAGTTACCGAGGGTTTTTATCCTTGAGGAGCTTTATTTCAATTGAAGATTTTGTTAGTGTTAAGTGTAACTAGTAAGGGTGCATTTCACAATGATAAACATAATATACCTTGTTTAAGGGTTGGGTATTGAATAAGGAATAAAGTCTTTCTCACTCTCAGATAGAACTCTCTGATCGAATTGAAAGCTCTTGCTTGTTGTCTGTAGCGGTAGTATATACTTTCATCTATCAGGGTTTCTTCCTTGTTGCTTGATAGTCCGGGAGGCTTAACTAAACAACAACAAAGAAAATATTTCTAAATAATCTATTTTTTTGCGCTAATCTATAAGAGTCTCAATTAGCCGTTGCTTGTTTAGTTTTTTCTTTTCTATTAAAAATAGGGTGAGCTTAAGAAGCTTCAAGCTATTCCCTCCATTTTAATTTCCCTAGGCTAGTAAGATATTCTAAGGGCAGGAAGGAGACATTTCAATGAAGAAAATAAAGAGAAAGGAACAGGATGGGATAGTCGCTTACAGAAGGGAAGAGAGATCTTATTCAATGTGATAGAAAGAAGAGAAGGCTTGACAAATGGAGCGAGGAACAGGGGATATTCTAAATTTCTTGCTTCATTCTGCGTCTTCTTCTTTTGGGAAGCATAGTTTTGGTTGTCTTACTGGTCGGAATGCATGCTTCCAGGATTGAATAGTGATTGGGCCTATCCTATCTAATTAGTGAGTATTTGTAGAGCCTTTTGCCGCGCTTCTTTATGTTTATCTTTATGGGATGTCTTTTTATTTGGTTTTGAATCTGGAGAAAATTCAACAAGAAAAAAAAAAAGCTTATGATGAGCATCTATTTGAGTCGATCATTTCCAAGATCTAATTCCAATTTATTCTTACGACTTTCTTTTATGGGGATGTCCGTCTTGAACTTCTAATTTATGTATGATAGAGCCTCCAACATATAGGCCTATCTCACTTGGATTCTTCTCACGAATTGAATTTGAACCAATATCTCCGGGCGACTTTCCTTTTAGTCGATCGTGAGTGGGTCTGTAGTGGTTGGCATTCCTACGTGCTCCTCTTTACCCCCTACTTAAGAATCCAAAGGTCACCTTTGGCTGTTGTCTTGACGCTTTGGTTACGAAAGTCATCGGGGTCTAGGTTTATGGATGGATTTAGTCAACGAAAGTCCCTCAAACTCAATCAATATTAAGCAAGGACATAGTTGAGGAAAGAGAGAGATGGCTTTTTTTATAGGATAAATAGTAGTGAGCCAGGAAAGTTGAAAGTTGGGATATCTACCAAGTTTTTAGGGATATCCGGTAAAGGACTTCACTGCAGGGATTTGGTGGTAGGCCCGCATCAACGTATAAATATTCTCCACGGGAGTGTAAATAGAAAATATCGCCTGGGAAAGCCTCACGGCCTGGTGGTCAGCGTAACAATAATGACATTTGTCAATATGCCACGGCCTGTTTAAGAGTGGAGGGGACTTCGACTGCCTTCTTGTATCGGGTGAAGAGAAGGGGGTGGTAGGCTTAGTAGGGCTCGAACCTACAATATTACCGTTATGAGCAGTACGTTTCAACCAATTAAACTATAAGCCCCTACGGATCTCTACATGCAATTCGCTCACTTCGGGAAGAGTGGATGGAAAGAGGAGGCCTTTGCTCTATCTGCTTCTTCCTATGATTTTCTTCTTATGAACTACAGGGAAGATCATAGCGGAGAAGTTGAGACCTAACAAAAGAAGTAAACCCGAAGTGTCGCGAAAGACTGGGATGGGAAAGAAAATGGAATGTACCGGATTTTTAGCACGTGCAACCATCAAACCAGAGACCAAAGCAAGGCTCGACAAAACAGAAAGTATCATGGCATTGAGAATAAAATATTCCCTCTAGACAGACTGAACCCCGTCAAGCCTGTAGCACTAGTGTTTTAACTATCTAGGGTGACCTTATTGCACGGTTCAGAGAGCACTTGTGTATGTGATGCAAGTGAACATGTACGAAAAAGTTGTATCTAGGGTGAGTTCTTCGTTTCGTCGTCGACCCTATCTATGTTTCTACGATGGCCCAAGAACACGCTCATTCTTCAGCCGTAGAGATCAAAATTCGATTGAAAATAACTCCCTCTGTATTATTTACGTAACGTGGAACTTTTAACAAAAGAGAAGAAATTCGTTAGAACGATTACAGAGAAGAAGAAAAATCCAGAATACTTCACTCTCCCCCTCTCTCCTAGCCATCATGGCCCTATATTTAGTTGAGGTCCCCACACGTAATCTCGCAGACGTGAATTCGTTATTTTCTCCCTTTTGCTAATCTTCTGCTCCTCCTTAGGTTTGTTAGCTGCCAGCTGTCCCACTTTTTCAACAAACTTCTCAGACGTAATTTTTTCCACTTTTGCCCTTGCCTCATTTTCTGATACAACATTGCCGCCTCCATTAAAAATAACCTTGTCCTCAAGGTTACTGTCCTGATACGCTTCTTTAACTGATAGCCAATCTTCCCAAGTAGCATGCCTCTCTTCCAAACCTTCCCATTTAATTAACACCTGTTGCACTTCTTTTCCTCCTTTAATAATATTTCGTGTTTGGAGAATAGCCGTAGGTTGCAGGAGTGGACCAACTTCATTAGTCATCATGGTCAGAGGAATATATGGTTTGATATGTTCACCATAGCACGGCTTCAACTGAGAACAGTGAAATACAGGATGGATTTTGGCATGATTTGGCAGCAACAACTTATAAGCAACAGGGCCCACCTTTTTTATAATTGGAAATGGTCCAAAGTACCTCATTCCCAGCTTCTGGTTTCTTCTTAATGCCACCGAGTTTTGTCTATAAGGCTGAAGCTTGATCAACACCATATCCCCTTCGTTGAACTCAATATCCCTTCTCTTTCTATCGGCATTCTTCTTCATTTGCTGCTGAGCTTTCATTAAGTTGTGTTTCAGTTGAGATAGAATCAAATCTCTCTGTTGCAACATCTCCCTAAGTTCCAAAGGATCCTTGTTGTCCAAAACATATTTATCCACTCGAGGTGCTTCTCTCCCATACACAACTTGAAAAGGAGTCAACCCTGTACTGAGATGATAGGATGTGTTGTACCAAAATTCAGCCCATGATAAAAACTTTAACCAAGCTTTTGGATTATTATATGTGAAGCAACGCAAATACATCTCTAAGCAACGATTTACAGCTTCCGATTGGCCATCTGTTTGCGGGTGATAGGCCGTGCTCATAGCTAGTGTGGTGCCACTCAACTTGAACAGCTGCTTCCAAAACTGACTAATAAATACTTTATCTCTGTCAGAGACTATAGTTCGGGGAAAACCATGTAATTTAGCCACATTTTTCATGAAAGCATCTGCAACTTGCACACTAGAATAATTTTCTTTTAATGGTACAAAGTGAGCATATTTTGACAATCTATCTACAACCACATATATCACTGTGAAGCCAAAGGATGGTGGTAACCCCGTGATAAAATCCATAGCGATGTCCTCCCATATTTGATTTGGGATCGGTAAAGGTTGTAATAAACCTGCAGGTAAAACATTAGAAGCCTTTGCTTGTTGGCAGATAAGACATGTCTTTACAAATGTCGCAATGTCTTGTCTCATTCCCCTCCAATAAAACTGAGAAGCAATTCGAGCTATTGTTCTTGTTATTCCCGCATGTCCACCAATAGGAGATGAGTGAAATTCTTGAAGAATTTGTTGAATCATGGGGTGTTTAGGTGGCACCACTAATTTTCTATTCCAGTACAACAAGTCATCTTGAGTAGAGTACATAGGATGAGGTGGGTTTCCTTGTCGACATTCTTTTTTAATCGCATTCAAGGTGGCATCTCGTAGCGATAGCTTCCGTAATGCCTGACAAGATTTCTAATTTTGGTTGGGACCAGGCCACAAAGAAGGATCTAGAAAGAGCATCCGCAGGGATGTTTTCTTTCCGGGTTTGTACTCTCATCGTAAACTCATATCCCAACAATTTATGCAACCACAATTGTTGTTCGGGTGTTTGTATTGCCTGTTCGATGATGCTTCTCAAGCTTTTTTGATCGGTTCGATGATGAACCGATGTCCAAGCAAATAATGCCTGAACTTTGCAATAGCCTCTGTGACAGCATATAATTCTCTTGAATACGCTGACTTTTTCTGTAAAGTGGGGTTGAGCTTTTTTGAAAAGAAAGCTATGGGGTGATTATTTTGACTCAAAATAGCTCCAATACACTGTTCGGATGCATCTGTTTCTAATACAAAAGGTTGAGAAAAATCGGGTATAGCAAGTACTGGTGCATTTGTTAAAGCCACTTTAAGAGCTTCAAAAGCGAGTTGTGGCTTGAGAGTCCCACTTAAAACAATCCTTTTTGAGAAGTTGTGTCAAAGGACTAGCAATTGTAGCATATCCTTGAATAAACTTCCTATAGTATCCAGTAATGCCCAAGAATCCACGTAGTTGTTTCAAATTTGTAGGTTGTGGCCAAGCTAACACTGCTGCCACCTTGGAAGCATCCATTGCCACCCCTGTTCCTGATACTGTGTGCCCCAAGTAGTCCATTTGGAGTAACCCAAATGAGCACTTTGATAGTTTAGCATATAATTTATGCTTCCTTAGATTTTGTAGAACCACCTCTAAGTGTTGTAAATGATCAGGCCAAGAAGAGCTGTAGATGAGTATATCATCAAAAAAAACAAGGACAAATTTCCTTAAGAATTCTCGAAAGATGTCATTCATCAATGATTGAAACGTGGCTGGTGCATTAGTTAAGCCAAACGGCATGACTATCCATTCGTAGTGGCCATGATGGGTTCTAAAAGCTGTTTTGAACCTGTCGTCCTTGTTTACCAAAATTTGGTGGTATCCCGACCTTAGATCGAGCTTGGAAAAAAATTTTGCCCCAAATAATTCATCTATCAATTCATCCACTGTAGGCATGGGAAAACTATCTTTGATAGTTATTGCATTTAAAGCTCTGTAATCTGTGCAAAACCTCCATGTACCATCTTTCTTTTTCACTAGTACAATTGGAGAAGAAAAAGGGCTATTGCTAGGTGTGATCAACCCTTCCTGTAACATCTCACTAACCATCTTCTCAATTTGTTCTTTCTGGCTATGGGGGTACCTATAAGGCTTGACTTTTATTGGTTTTGCATTTAGTAACAAAGGAATATTGTGGTCATGGGTTCTATTAGGTGGTAATCCATGTGGAACATCAAACACATCTTTATAAGTATGTAATAACATTGCAATATCAGGTTCTACATTATCAGGAATTTGTACCCACTGATCATCCGAGCAGTACGGTAACTGCATCTGCAGTGTAAATACCTCGGCAATAGCATGTGTTCTATTCATTCTGCGGATGTGATGAAACTGAGCCTGTATCGGAAGCTTGGAGTGATCCCCATGCAAAGTGATAAATTTTCCACCTATATAGAACTTAAGAGTCAAAGCGCTGTAGTCCGATATGTGGGGTCCTAAGGTTGCTAACCAAGCAGCCCCAAGTACCAGATCTGCACCCGAGATGGGTAAAAGATAGACGGGTAACCGTAGCATGTGACCTTGAATTTGAACCTCCACGTTTTTTACCATTCCTTCAACTGTTAATGCGTGACCATTCCCTACCAAAACTTGAAAACCTGAAGTTGATTCAACAGGTAATTTCAGAGAATTTGCAAGTCGCGGCTGTAAAAAGTTATCGGAGCTTCCACTATCAAGTAATATCTGAACTGCAACACCATTGATAGTGCCTTGAAATTTCATAGTTCCAACACCGGCTCCCCCTTTTAGAGCACTAAAAGATAAATGATGATCTGTATACTCCTCCTGCATTTTGCTAGCATCTTCATCAGGTGGATCTGGTTCCACAACATTTTCCTCATCATCCTCCATATGTAATAACAGATATTTTTTGTTAGGACAGCGGTGCAAAGGAGTGAACGTATCATTACAAGTAAAACATAAACCCTTTTCACGTCTTAATTGCATCTCAGCAGTGGACATGTTTCTGACATTTGAATATCGAGGTTTTTGTGCTATGGTTTGGGTATTGGTAGGATTAGGTAGTAATGGCGGAAGGCTACTGGTTTTGTGGGTTTGGCTTGAAGCTGAAGAGTTGGATTTGGAGAATGGTTGGTTTGGGTAAGTTTTGTGTTTAGGGCTATATTTCTCTTCGTACAGTTTTGCTAACGATACTGTTCGAACCATAGACGTAGGATCTTGTGCAATAACATCTCTACGTATATCAGGTTTAAGGCCACTAATGAAACAATCTAATAATGCATCTGGAGTAACCCCATATACACGGTTTGCCAATGCCGTAAATTCTCGGTAATAATCCTGAACTGAACCCAATTGATTTAGTTTAAACAGGGTAGAACGTGGGCATTCATATGGGGAGGGGCCAAATTCTATTTCCAATGCTCTGGTAAAACCCACCCATGAATGAAACGGGTTGTTCTTAGTAAGCATTTGGAACCAGGGGATCACATCCGCATCCATATGCACCGCAGCAATAGTCAAACGTTGTTCATCAGGAGTATTATAATATGTAAAAAACTGCTCTGCCTTAAAAATCCATTCTAGAGCATTAGATCCATTGAATCTGGGGAAATCCAGTTTGACGTTGCGAACCTGAAACGGGGGTGTAGGAGAACCTGAAGTCAGGGAACCAGAAGGGTCCGAAGCAGCAGCGTTTAGATTCAGGGACTGCATTCCCGTTTCTATGTTTTCAAAGCGGTTTGAGTATTCCACATGACGCTTCTCCATCATTTCGAGTAATCGCTTAACATCAGCTGATAAATTCTTGACATCAGAAGTTAATTCTTTCAGACGTGTGTTTTCCGCCATGAAAGCAGAATGAA